CAGTGTTTGTAATAGCATTCTTCTTACAGTAAGTGAAAAATGTATTAAGTGGGAAGGAATTAGCTGTATTTTTGGAAGGCTTTAGTTTTTAAGGGAAAATCAAGTTACTGTTCATTACCTCAGTACCAGAGAATTGATTTGGATTTCTGTGAAACTGAGCCATATTGGCTGCAAACAGGAATTTGTTCTTGGAAGGATAACAACAGCCAGCCTGTTGCCCTTGTTTACACTGTGAAAGGTACATAGGAAAAGAGGGAATTGCATCCAGCATGCACTCTGTGTAATTAAAACATGAAAAGTACTGCTGGTTTGGCCTTCTTTCTAAACAAATGTTAGGGCAAACATTCAAAACTAAGGAGAGCCAAGCCGAGGTTGCAAAAATCTCTGCTGTCAAAAATCTGTGTGAATTAAGATTTCTGAGTTTTGGCAATTCCATAGCACCTTTTTTGACCAAAAGAATTCAGACTTGTGTTCTTTTATCTATGTCTGTAATTCAGGCCCTCGGTAGCTTATGTGATGCATGTTTCAGAGGTGCTTAAAAATCTATGTGAATTGCAGCCTGATTCTCAAAAGCTAATAGTTTCTTTGCACATTTGTGGTGCTGGTTACGTGCTCGAGACTAATGGTATCAATATCTTGAAATATGTCTTCTCCAGCTATTTTCGGCTATCTTAATAATCACAACATACTCTGAAAATTGCAATAGGCAAGAAAGGAACATATAAATATCTAAATGAATTGGCAGAATGTTTTGTTTGATATTTTCCCTGAGAAAAGATGAAAAGAAACCTGGTGAGTCACTAAGGACTTAATGCACAAATCTTACTGCATCCAGATAAGGGCATGTAAGATGATGAAAAATATTTGCAAAAGCAGCTCAAGCAAGTTTGCTGCCAGGCTGTCTTGATAAACAAACCTTCTCTCAAGCTGAATGGGTCTGTGCTTTAGGGGATAGACTTACCGAGGATCTTCCAGTCATTGCCTTTCAGCCATTTTGAAATTCATCTCAAGAATGTATGTCTTCAGAGCTAACTTGGTCGGGGGGTATATATGTGTGTGTATGTGTGTATAGATATATTTATGTACACATTTTAAAGTGTATATATGTAAAGAAAGAGATTCTAAAGAGGGGGTAGAAATAGAGTGTCTGCAGGAAGAATTGCATTTTCCTTGTGCACCTCTTCTTTTTTTGTCCCAATTTAAAATAGTCCTGAAAGAGAGAAGTTTTCTAAAGGCGTTTCAAGAACTTTAACTGATATTCACCTTTATCATTATGTTTTTAAACTTCCTTGCTTACATACTTATTTGTAAACATAAGTAAAGAGAAGAGAATCTATTTTTCAGGCAAGTTGCCTTGACCAGGTCTTGGATGACACTTTGCACCCACTATGCAAAGCTCAGGATGCTCTGGCACATAACCAGGGGTCTGGAAGGTTGCAGGGAGACTGCCTCTCCTGTTAAAAGCTACCAGGGATCCCCAGGCCATTGCTGGAATATTTGCATGCCTTGTTCTTAAATAAAATTCCTTAGCTTCCCTACATGACTTCTTCCAGCGTGTAACTGTCACTGTTGGAGGGTGGAGAAAGGATAGTTCTACACTGTTTACATTGGTTTTGTCTCAGCTAGGCCTGTTTTTTTTCAAGTTCTTATCTACTTATCATCCTCAAGGGAATGGAGAATCATTGAATGCTACCTATTTTTTTCTGGTTTCTGATTGAGTCATCTCTCTATCTTCATTCTCCTCATTTCCTGACTAAATAAACAGATTTTCTTTGTGCGTATGTGACATAGCTTGTCACAATAGCTATGCTTTTAGAACCATCTGATGGGGTTTTGTTCTAAAACTTTCCAATTTGCTGTGTTTTTCTTGAAGTGCGGTGGTAAAACTGGATCCAGTGTCCAACGGCAAGGAATAAAGGAATGCAATGAAGTTTCATGGTTCATGCTAATGTGTCCTAGAATTAAATTTCTTTTCCTTTTGAAATAATGGTGTTATTGTCCAAGTTTTAATCTCGCAGATTCTTGAGAGATGCTTAATATGTTAGTGCTAATTTTACATTTATGTGCTGTCATGCTTTGAATGTTTTTCCTGGCTTTCGTCATCATTAGACCACCTCTAGACTAATTATGAAGATCGTTGCAATTCTTACCTGCCAACGAGTTGCAATCTCCACAAGTTCAGCATCAGCAGCTGATTTGAGAAACATGCTTTTTATTTCATATTCCAGTGGCTAAGGTTGAAATACTAAGTAGTGAACTTAGTACATGTAGACCTTTGAAAGGCCTCGTTGATCTATATTCTTTCCGTTTGATAGGAAAAAGTGAATCCTTGATACTCTCTGAAGTGCTTTTTCAGGCTTTTGTGCGGCCATATAATAGAAATTTCAGCCAGACTCTGTTCTGCTGATTTACTGGGGAACTTACTGTAGGTCCTGAAGGCTTACTCTGAACCTATGAACTGAACTGTATTAAAGCTACTTCTTTTTGCCTATCTGCATGCTCATGTGAGGTTTAATACGATTCTAATTTAATTTCCTTATTACCCTACATTGTTTTGAAATGGACTGTAATACTGTTTTCTTATGTTGAGTGTGGACGTTGAACTTGCTGACCTGTAATTCTCTCAGTACTCCTTTCCTTTTAGAAATGGGTGTGTTTACTTTGAGGTTTTTATTTTCACAGATAGCTGATAATACTTCAGAAAATGCTTTCACTTGTTACTTGAAATCCACCCCAGAGCACTTAGCCCATCCCCCTCTTTTCATGAACTGTTGTGACTTTCTTGGGTAAACTGTACATTTTACGTTTACAGCCTATTTAGTGCCAAGCATAAGCAGGCCTTTTCCTGCTAAGACTCTTTTTATCATTCAAGTATGAAATTTGTAAGGATGTGAAATGAAAACTGTTTCTTAATGTATCACTTGGAACTTTGAAGGTAGGATGCATGTCTCCATGAAAAGCTGGCATTGAGCTGCTTCGAGGTGAAGCCATATTTGAAATATGCTGCCTTGAAGTTGGCCAGATTTTGTTTTGGGGGGTGTGTGTCCTTATCTGATAAGTGGTGAAATTCAGTTCCATGGCAGTGCTGGGCTGGGTGGGGTAAGAGGCTGGAAGGTGAAGGGAAAGACTATGAGGAGAGAGACAGATGCCACCTTTCCACTAGCCTTCCAGCAGCTGGTCCAGCCTTCCTGAGGGACGTGACCTTCTGATGCCCTCTTCCCACCTTCTGTCCATTTTCCTTCCATATCTTCTCTTACATTTACTGTCCCCAAGTTTCTTGAGTTACTGAAACATCTCTTCCTTGAAGAGACCTTAGCCCTTTCTTTCAGCATTCTCTTGTCTCCCTGTAGATGGGATAGTTTTCCTGACTTCTTCCCCAAAACAGTGGAGGAGACTCTCTTACCTGTAACTGAGACAATGCTGAATGCTGAGGGAATTATTCTGCTGGTTACTGAGATCTCCAGCTAGTGGCTGAATATTTCTAGGGTGAGGGAGGTTGTTCTCTGGCTTTTTGTGACATTAGACAAATGTCTTCTCGTCTGCTGTGATTTAATGGGAAAATGCAATTCTTTTTACAAGAACTTCACCATTTTCCCATTTTAAATTTAGTTTCAGTAACAGAATATGAAATGTTTTAGGAATTTAGGCATAAATGTTTCCAATTATTGTCTTCTCCTAATGTATTCACTTAATTCCTTTTTTGGCTTTTGACAGCATGTATGTATTGTTTCATTTTAACTAATGCTAAAAATTACCATTGAAAACACTTGCTGAAGAATGAAGTTTCTCTACCCATGTTACAGACAATTAGTACCAAACAATATCCAAGAAAATTTGTTATCTCCATATGATTCTTGTTTAACATTTTGGTGCTGCTAATTAAATTATGAAGTTGTGTGTTGGAAACAAGTTTACCACTTACATGCTAGTCTGATTTTCTTTTTTTCTCTATCTCTGACATCTGTGAGTTTGTCTGTTTGTCTGGTTTGATTCCATATTTTGCACAAGTCATTCCCATGTAATGGGCTGAGCCCTATTTAGTTGATAAAGTGGGGAGAAAAAAAAAGGAAAGCCAAAACTCGTTGAATCAGTGTCAGTGTTTTAAATGATAATGTGTGACTTCACTGGAGAAATGAGCTGTGCTGCAAGTTTCACGGACTGATAGAATTCTGATATCTTCACAACTGTGTAAGAGCAGCTGATCTCCAGTAGAAATGTTGGGCATTTCCAGCAAAAGAGCCATCATATGTGTTAAATATTAGTGCAGACTGGGGGAAAAAAAATTCCCTGTGCCATTCCAGAAAGTAGGAGTGAAACATCCTGAAAGTACAATTGTAATTTGTAGGCTGGTATGAGGCCAGCCTGTGAATGCAAACTGTGAAGTGGTTGCTTTTCCATTGTGAATCCCTGCTGCTGAAAACTGCTTTACAGGGCTGATTTTCCTTTTTGCCAGTGTACAGAAACAATATTTACATGTCGCCTTCTGGGTATGTGCTCACAGAGAGATGCAGAATAAACATGAATTTATGGATTGTGTATTGCAAAGCTGTAACAAGGAATTAGTTAATAAGTAGTGTAGGAAATTAATTATTAACTGCCTCTTCTTACATCTTTCTGATCTTTATCTGTCTGGTACTGCATAGAAATCTAGTTTTTCTTCCATCCAGTCTTATCTAGTCATGCTTTCTCTTTCATTTTCCCTCTCACTTTATTTTATTGCTCATCAGTTTCCCCTTTGAGTGTATGGTGTTTACAGCCACTGCTACACAATCCTGAGCCCTATTCTAATGCATGACTAAAGCTTAGCTTTAGCTTTGCTCTTAAACTAATAATTTCAGCAGTGATGTAAATTAGGAGGGAGAGCATAGTAAGTGAGATACCAGACCTTTAATTTCAAAGAAACAATGTTGTTTTCTTCACTAGTAGCAGTGAGTCCAGATAAATTCCTAAATACTAATGATTTCAGGAAAGCTTATGAATTTTCCTGTACTGTTTTGCAGGGGATTTCCCAAGAAAACAGGCAGAACTGCTAGGATAGCATCAGATGAAGAGATTCAAGGGTCAAAAGATGCTGTAATTCAGGATCTGGAAAGAAAACTTCGCTTCAAGGAAGACCTGTTGAACAATGGGCAACCGGTATAAAAACATAAAATACCCCAGGGAATGGGAGTGGGAATCATGGGCAGTTTTCCAGATATGCTGCATAAGAAATAATTGTTGTAGATGATATTTTATGTAATTATTATTAATTGCCTTTCCAAAGCTGCATTTCCATAAGGAATGATAGTGTACATTTTGACCTATCACGCCTCCTTTTGTTTGACAATAAAACAATAGAGGTCTCAAAGATGATGAATTTGCGTAAGAAGCCTGCACAGTCTGTACCTTACGGGCTTTTTCAGCCTCAGAGGCTGCATGCTTTTGCCTGTTTGTCATTGAGTGGCCAGTAAGTATATACATAGCTCTTATTCAGTCCAGGCTCATCCTACCTTTTGCTCAGCTCCTGGACAATGCGGGGGAAGAGCAGGTGGTAAGTGGACATCAGAAGGGGGCAAGACAGTTCATCATGAGAAACAACCCATTCGGAATCAGGCATCATTAGATCATGCAGTTGTGGGGCTTTTTTTGACCAATAGACTAGAAGATAACCTATAGTACTTACAGACTTTATCAGGAGTTAACAACGTGCTTGTGGAGTCAAGAAAGGAGGTAAAATGGGCATCTCAAACAGTTGAAATGCATCGCCTCAAAGTTCTCCATTAATTTTTGTGCATTGAAAGATATGCATGAAAGATAACACACCAAATTCTTCCTGCTCAGAGCTGATGATAAGTAACTCTCCCAAGGTTTGATTACAGTTATCAAGGCATTGATTTAAATGTATTTGAAGCAGAAATCTCTTTTAAGAGGAAAGTAATTTTTTAAATGTAGACTGTGAAGCCTTTTTTGTCAATGAAATGCTTTCAAAAGCATCTGAATACCATGGGATATGTTTGTGTCACTGAAGGGTAGATGGGCTTTAGGTTTCCTGGATCATGCTCAGAAGTTTGATAGGCTTGCTACCCGTGTCCAAGATGTGGACTAAGGTGGTGTAGTTCAAGACAGCTGATTGAACTACAGCTGATTTACATGTTGCCTTCTGGGTATGTGTTCACAGAGAGATGCAGAATAAACATGAAGTTATGCATTGTGTATTGCAAAGCTGTAACAAGGAGTTAGTTAATAAGTAATGTAGGAAATTAATTATTAACCGCCTTGTCTAGTCCACAGCTGCTGGATTCTGGTTCTTAGTAAAGTCAGTGGAGTAAAGTAGGG